CATTCTTTTCCTCTTTTGAGTACTTTCCGCACTATTTTGTATTTACCTAGACTGGCATTATTATGGCTCATATTGTCCAGTTGTTGGGATGAGTCAGAAAAAAAAGTCTCTCTGTCTGGGAGAGTTCTGGAAACTACAGGCAAATAACCTGCTACACATCGCCAGCAAAATCCTTCAGCTCTGCTTGTGCTCTTCATGGGTGCCCTGCTTGCCCCATCAATTAGGAATGAAAATAACACGTGCCCTGACACTGATTCTCTGTACTGATGTCTAACTAGTCACTCAAGTTAATGAGTTAATATTCTCTCATTCCAGATTGAAAAATAAGATGGTGTGTTGTGTATCTTTTTTTTTTCTTTTGTGCCAAAAGCAAGTATAAACTTCTGTCTCCAACATCAGTGCTTTTCTCCCTTTTTTTTTTTCCCAGTTTGAAGACTCAAACTGAGAAAAAGCTTGCTCTTCAGAGTTTCATGGTGTAAATCAACCACTAGCAGTCTATAGGTTCCTATGGCTGTATAGATCACCGGTTGAAGGCAATTGAAATACAATCTGATAATGTCTTTCAGTTTTGCTCAGTTCAAGTTTGTGTGATATTTCAGACCACTGTCACCCTCAGCGGCCCATAAAGCTGAAGAGGGTCCTTGGGGTTCTTCATTCAGAAGTGTATAAATCTAAACAAAAATTTAAAGAACTTTGTATTACACATGTAAAATTTCTTTTGATTGTCTGTGCACATTTGCCCTTTTTTATAATACTTCCCACTGATGTATGTGAAGCAACTTGAAGTGAGAGAGAGGTTTTTAGGGTAGACATAATTGCATGTAATAGTTGTCTCCTGAAGAAATGCATCTAGAAGGATTGCCACTTCCTCACTCTCTTTCCAAGAGAACTGGGTGTGTGTTGTAAATTCTGATTATTTTGTCTTGTAATTTAAAAGAATTAGCTATAGGAAGCTTTCAGGACTCTGTGTCTCTCTCCAGGATATTGCAATATGATGATTTGTCTTCATGATAGTTTAACTCTGAAAAGTGCAGAATTGCCATCAGGATTGCTTGTGGTGCCATCATCTGTTGAAATGTATGCCTTCAGATAATTATTCCAAGGTGGCAATTACTTTATTTAGGTAAGTGTAGGTAATTTTTGAAATGTATGTATGCAAAATAAGCTTCACTATCAGAAATATAACATACTGTACTCTGCGTGTACTCAGTGCTTTAAGTCAGGCTTCCTTCTGAAGCCACTGAAAATAGTGTGTGTATAGTGCCCTGAGAGTACACCATCTTTAGAAAGTTAGTAAATGTTTAATCGGTCTTCTTACTTTTCAACTAGATCAGAGAGTTATGATACAAAGTGTGAATTTATTTTAAATACTATGATGATTTATTTCTTTAAAGGTAAGCAGTTTTCTCAGGAATTTTTTCACTAGTGTGCTGAAGAGAGTTGATTTGTTACTGTTCCCACAAGATGGAGCTGTCTACATATGTAATTAATATGGAATTTATACTGCTAGTGAAACTTGAGAAGCTCTGTCAAAATACGGGTTTAGAACGCAGATCACCATTTTATTGGTATCCCTCCAGAAAACAGTATAATGTAGAACATAAAATAGTAACTCTTAAGTTAATAAGGTAGAGTAGTCTTGTGGTGAGGGCAGTGTGTCAGGACGTACACAATATTGATTCCCCCCTCACCGCCCAGATTTTAAACATGTATTCTGTACATGATTTTGAATTAAATATTGTGATAATACCCCTGATAATTATCAATCAGTACTTCATTCATTATCTTAAAACTGAAATATAAGTAGCTTTAATACTGAAAAAAAACCCAAACTGATTTTTACGACATGAATGCTGTTGCCTGTGCTACATTGTATGTGAATCCAGACTTTCTGTTGGTGTTGTCTGGAATTGTTTGATAGCATTTTAAAGAGAAATCTGATTGCAAATTATTTCCCTCTCTCAGTATTTTAATAGCATGTATGTCTGCCAGTGGTGGCAGATCTGAAATTCATAAAAAGGTATCAAGACAGCTATGCTAAACTGCAGCTACTGCATACCCCAAAATCATCTGGCAATAACTAAATCTGAAAAGACGGTGCATTGCTACCACCAAACTTTCTTTGAATACAAACTCAAGTATGGACTTCCTCTTGCACCATCTTTTTCAGTCTGGTATCTCATTTTAGGTATATTTGGCCTACTATGTTTTACTCCTGTTTTCACTTAGTTATATTACACGACTTACACTTATGAGTACACAGCAACAGACAGAAGTCTCCTGTCTTTGTGATAATGATACTCCTTTCTCACTTCCCTTTGAGAACATTGGAAGGAGACCTAAACTTGGAGGCTCCTTCCACCCTTAAATGAAAGGCTCAAGGAAACAGTAATAAATTGAACTTTTTTTCTGGTTTTTGCATTAGCATCCAGTGCAGTATAGATGATGAGTCCAGCCCATCCAGAGGAAGCTGTGAAGGCACTATCTGATGCCTCTGACCCTTCTAATCTTTTTATTTCTTCTCCAGGAATGATACTCTGGACACAGGTAGATGTTCCTCTATGCCCACCTTGTAGGGTCCAACAAAGCGTCTCTGACCCTTTTCGTATAGAGACAGAGCAGCGCTGATGTAACCAGCCTGTACTGTGTATTTTGGAGCCCTGAACATCAGTTGTTGAACCTTTTTCTCATCCCTTCCCCATTTCTTTACAAGTAACAGTGATACAGTCTACATGTGTCCTCCCATGTCTTCAAATGCAGAACATTAGATTGCCTAATGAGAGGTCACTCAATGCTGACTATGTGTCTTGCACCTTTATTTTGTCCCAGGCCAGGTTGCTGCTTCTCCCTCTAGCCAGCACCAGGTTCTGGCAGGTTTGGGTCGCTCATGATCTTCCACCCCAGCCCTTTAAACTTCAGTCATCCTGGGCAGCCTTGAGAGGTTTCTTTCAGGTAGTCTGACAGGAACCTCAGAAGGAAAGACTGACTCCTTCCAACCATCATTTCAAACTGTGGTGGTGGAAAGGGTGAGAGGTATTTTTGCCTTTGTGAATCACTTAATGGGTCAACAACCTTGGATTTTCCCCTGGTGCACTTTGGAGGAAAGAGCCTGCCTTTCAGTACTGTGGCCTTATTTTCCTATCAGTCATAAGCAAAAGGGGAATATTCTAGAAATAATTTATTGAATAGATTTTTCCTTGAGAAAATACCTACAGCAAGTAGGCTATTGGGAGTTGGCTTTCTTCCTTTGGCATGTAGGACAGCTTATTACCTTTCTAATTTCTCTTAACTTCAGTTGCTTCTCCAAGTATATTGTCTAAGGTCAAAAGGAACTCAAAAAGGATGAAGAATCCAGTTACAAGAGTCTTCAATCTTTTCTATACCCTTTTCTTCCTTGAAAGGTCATGTTCTTGTCAGACACTCAGCTATAGGTTTGTTAGAAACTTCAGTTGCTTCTCCAAGTATATTGTCTAAGGTCAAAAGGAACTCAAAAAGGATGAAGAATCCAGTTACAAGAGTCTTCAATCTTTTCTATACCCTTTTCTTCCTTGAAAGGTCATGTTCTTGTCAGACACTCAGCTATAGGTTTGTTAGACAGGTGATTACCCCGGATCTTGTCAGAGCCCAGCTTTCTGGTTAGAAAAGAGGATATTGAAGAATATGGGAAGTCATACTTTTCCAAGATGACTGGGAGGGAAGTACTTTCTCTCTACTGAAGAGTTTTAGAGGCTTTGACTCACTGTTGCCTGGGTCTTGAACTTAAGACTGTACTTCTGTAAGCAACATTGAGACCATTGGAACTTTGGCTTTTTTTATTTTTCTCCCATCTTAAGATTTTTTTTTTTTTTTAAAGCAGCTTCTTAGGGATTTCTAGAGAAAACTTTGCAATTGTGAAAGGAAATTAGAGGCTAAAAAAAGGAATTAAAGATTTTTCCATCTCTTGATTTTTTTAAATGCTTGTAGTTTTCAGTACAAATATGTTTGTATGTGTGTGACTATACCATCCTTACATTGCTGCTCTCAGTCTATATGAATAGCTGCTTCAAAAATTATATGTCTTTGCTATTGTTGCTATACAAAGTTGTTTATCAAATTTTGGAACTGCCTTTGCCTTACCTTTTTTTGTGAGACTTCATACCTTTGATTTCCAGCACAGTTCTCTGTAATACCTCTTTTCTTGCTTCCTGTGCTAAGTCTGAAACTTTCAATTGCCCCTGTCTCCTTTGCTCTCTCTCACGCTTGATCATTTTTCCAGGCTATTTCTGACACAGCTCAACAAGCTACGCCAGTAATTTCTCCTGGAGTCATGTTTCCTGCTTGAGGTTTATAAGCCTACTGTTTGAACAATTAGTAAAATAAGCCAGAAGACCTGATTTTAACCATTCCTGAAGGTTAGATACCATTGAGGTAGCAGCCTTAGACATATGCGTGTCATGGTTTTGCTTTAGGAGACGTTGAGCGTGGGCAGGAGGAGGAAGGGAGCAGTGGGGGTTGCCTTCTGCCAGGGTCTGGTTGCTGCGGCACAGTGCTCCGGTTGTTCTGGCTGGAATCGTCCAACCCTAATTTAGTTGGATAACTCTGATGTTAGGAATACCAGAAAAGCAAATTTGTACATTTGCACTTATTTATATTTAGCAAAGAGTGGAATTTGGTTGAAAAGTGATCCATGCTATTTGAGGTGGTCAGAGGAACTGATTCCTTTGTACTCGTATTTGAGCATTAGGGCATAAATAACAGACCAGTGAGCCTCAGGTCAGCCATGATGTAACTGGTTAAGCACCTGGATTAATGCCATAAGGGCTGGGTTCAGTTGTCAGTTCTGTGCCGTCTCTTTTAATGCTGGTTTTGGTGGAGTGGATCACAAATGATGCCACCACAACATCAAGTTTGTGTGCTTTTATTTTCTTTTTAAGAGAGATTTCAATAAAGAACTTTGTGTACTATTTTTAACTGGGGGGAAAAGTAAACTTTGGTTTTCTTATTTGTATTTAACAGATCTGTATATGATGACCAACCAAATGCACATCAGAAGTTTATGGAAAAACTAGATGCCTGCATACGTAACCATGACAGGGAGATAGAAAAGATGTGCAATTTTCACCATCAGGGCTTTGTGGATGCTATTACAGAACTTCTTAAAGTTAGGGCTGATGCAGAAAAATTAAAGGTAAGGAAGTAGTTTTTCAGAGTTTCATATATCATTGTCTTTGAATTTAAAAGAAGGAACCTGACTCTTTTACTGAAGAATAAGAATTTAGTGATTATCACATATGATCTGTTTGCAACCATTTTTTTAAAAGTAGATTATTTAGGATTTGTGATTATAACTGTGTTGCCTGATCCAGTAATTTACATTTACAAATGCAAATATTTTATTAGCTCTAATTCTGATTAACTTTTAAAATGTAAGTTTTCAGAAAATGTTACCAAAATTATTTTGCCCTTTTTAAAGGCATTCTCAGAAGGTAAAGAGCAATAAATGGTAAAAACTATATTTCTTACATAGGTCTTTTTCTAATCATGTGTTTGTATGGCTAATGTAAATTAAAATCTACATTAGAAAAATAAAAATACTGAAATTATGCATGAAGAATAAATTTTCTTTACTCTATAATGAGTAGGGGAGAGTAGGTGGAGTTAGTTTTTGTTAGAAATGAGAACTAAGATTTACTTCCAAATCAGAACGCAGAATAGTGAATTATGAGATCCATCCCTTTTAGCTCTCTTTACACTTTTGAGAGCAAAATATGCACACCAGACAGAATGAGCACAGTTCATCAGAGGTTATGATTAGAAGAGCATTATATAAAGGATATTCAGATAACAAGAGACCAAATACAGCGTCAATGAGGTCATTGAGCATCTTTGTTCAGAAATTAATGAGATTTTTAATAAACTAGAATGTGCTTCCTTATTATGATGACCTAATGAGTCACTTACTATGTGGGAAAATCTGAGGTCGAGCTTTGCCTGCACCTGCAGCATTAAAATGTTGCTGTGGTTTGGAGATTTCCACGTTTGATGTTAATCAACCACCCAGTGTTTGCATTCAGCAAAGTATGAATGTTTAATTACCATAAAATGCAATCACCATTTCTTAGAGACAATGAATGGCCCATAGAGCTCATTGAGGTTATCAAAAAGGGACCAGTGGTCAATTGGGTCAATGATTTGAATTGTTTGACAGACCTGCAGAAACAAGGAGAGTTCAAAAATCCCAAGTAAATTTGAGAAGTTTGCCACAGAATCTGTTAGAAAGAACTGTCATAAGTAATTGAAGTTAACAAAAGCCCTTTGCGATCAAAAGTTCAAGTTCAAGCTGTAGAGTTAATTTGAATTTGCATTTCTTTGTTCTAAGTTTCTCATGAAGCATGATCTGATTACAAGGGTGAGCAGTCACATCAGGGCAATATATGCATATTTGTCTAACAAAGGTGAAATTATTTTTAAGGTCCAAGTTACTGATACCAACCGAAGGCTTCAGGATGCTGGGAAAGAGGTGAGAAAACGGTGCTTCCTATGTGGGCATTATGAATATTTGTAGCAAATTAAATTTATTTGCATATTTTGATTGTGATTTTTTTTTTTTTTTAATCTCTAAGGTGATATCCCAAACAGAGGAAATAATCCGATGTAGAGTCCAGCAACGGAATATAACAACCGTTGTGGAAAAACTACAATTGTGTCTTCCAGGTGAGTGACCTATAGCTAAATATGACGGCAAATTAAAGTAAGCAACAGTAGCTAAGATGCAAAATAATTTTGTTTTTTAAGTTGTGGTCCTGTAACATCCATTTTAACAAAAGCACTAATGGGTTTTAAAAAGATGTCCACATGTAGATTCCATATCTTTTACAGTATTTGCCGTAGAGCAATTATGCCACTTGGTGAGAGAACAGCGAGAATGATACAAATGATGCAAACAATGTAGCCACATACAGCTTCAAATGAAGTAATATTGTTAGTATGGTAAACAACAAATGTTGCTTAAGCAGGTGGTTTTTTACTGTTTGAATTCTATGGAAAGTACTAATGATTCTATTTCAATGTTGTACTTTTAGATCTGTGTCATTACAGGCTTTTTTTTTAAAATGAAACATAAATAATGTTTCAGAAAGATGATACTGTAGAATTGCACACTGCTCTATGAGGGTTTTATCCTGTTAGTGATATTGATGTAAAACAGATTTGAGGAGTCTTCTTTGTAGTTTTATTGTTGACTTGTTATGAGTACGGTAGGTGGTACTGTTGCCATTTAATGGAGACAGGTCAGATACTGGTAATGCAGATAAATTTATGGTAAGTAGTAAGTGAATTAATATGCTTTATATATATAGTGTCTACTGTTTTGTTTAATCTTGATTCTTTTTCATTTAAAAGCTGTTAAGAGTTCAGTTCTTTTTTTCTTAGCTGCATTCTAGAAATTTTTTTTTGCTAGTTTTATCACATTTATGTTGCAGTAGGAATTCAAAAAGGTAAATTTAGCATATCCTTTTCTATGGTTTATTTTGTCCTTTAACAGTATATATGTTCCTTTTTTATTAACTAAAGCCATAGTAGGATGCATGGGTTAATCTGCTTGTTTTTATGCAGTGCTGGAAATGTACAGCAAACTAAAAGAACAGATGAATGTAAAAAGGTGAGTGAACTTATTTCTATGAATAAAATACAACTTTAGTAAATAAACTGATAGAATAGCAAACACTAATGTAGACAAGTAAATATTCTAAGTCCTGTCATTTGGTACTTAAAGTCTTCTTTTCATAATACCTTCTCTGTGTTTCAGGAATGTCACTGCAAATAAACTAATGTTGCATTAAATACAAAAACTTCTAGGAGCTTAGTTATTGCCATGAAAAATAATGTTTACTTACATAAGCAGACATGCAGTGAAATTATGATTGCAAAATGTGAAGTATAATGTATTTTTTTTAATACTTAAAACAGTTTAAGAAGCAAGAACAATAAGATACTTAGAGAGTAAAGATCTTTGCAGAGTACATTAATATCTGATTAATCTATCATGATGTATTTAAATCAAATTCATAATCCAAGAAAAAAGGACGTTTAACTCCATACACCTTTCTTCAGGCCTGTCTGGTATCTCTATGCTAATCTTTTGTGTACATGGGACTATGAGAATGAAGTGCAGAAAATGTATTGGGGTTTTTTCCCTCTGTGACAAATTGACTTGTTAAAAAAAAGTTAAAACAATAGTGAAAAATACACTTATAGAATAATGGTTTCTAACTGGTATCTGGCCACTTCCTGCTTCCTCTATTGCGTCTTTACTTTCTGTCTTCTCAGAGTGCCACTCACTGCTGCTGTAACCCCAGTATTCCCAGTTCTCTCTGTGGCAGGCTTGCCCCCAGTAGCTGTTGTCTTCTCCCACTGGGGCTGCTGCTGCTGCCTTGCGCCTCATGCACACCCACCCCAGGAACACTACTGCTGCTATTTTCTTCTTCCTGATTTCTACAGCATCATTGCCACTGTCATCCCTGCCTGCTTTTCGTACAACCTCAGTCACGCTGATTGCTCTGTCTTCCCTTGATGGATTCATGATCGTTGCTGTTGCCTCTTTGTGTGCCTGGCACCACTGCAGTGAGCTCCTGCGAACAAGTTTGTCTGGACCTGACTGTTTCCATTTGGAACTAGCTGTGCATAGTCAGGTGTCTACAGGGCTACTGTGTAATCTAGATTTACTTTTGCACTGTTTGTCTGGATTTCTGTTGTCTGGATAGCCAACACCTCTTGCCATGCTGCTAGACATCTGAAAATCCTCAACAACGGCCACTGTGTGTGAGCAAATTGGCTCTAAAGCCTGCGTGCAGGCAAGTCCGAAATGCATCAGATCTACTGGGCACATCAGATCAATAAGCACTGCAGCAAATCTAATTTATCTTCAGCAGTGGTATATGTGCTACATGATACCTGTGCACACACGCTGTCTGGGACGTCTTCTGCAGAAATAGGAGTGTTTTAAGAATAACCTAATAGCTATGGCACTCTGCTATCTCTTATTACAAGCAAAACTTGCTAGATGTGAACCAGTGTGGTAGATCTTATCAGCTTGACTACTGCATACTGTTTTCTATGAACAGGACACTGGTTTGACATCTGCTTAGAGTAGCTGGCAGCATGTTGTTGCAGTGCTCTTGGTGCAACTGATCAGAAAGATGTAAACAGTGCAGTGCCCTTGCTACTCTGGTCAGAGAACAGGCTGCGGGGTGTGCTGTGTGAATCACACCACTTCATTCCATAAGGTGATCTGTGGAGTGTGCTGTGTTTTGATGTTGAAAGTATGGAAACACTGGGATCAAGGCCCACATTCTGCCATTCCCTTGCTCTGTCAAGCAAGACAAGCAGCATCCTGGTTTTAGAATTGCAAGGGAAGTTCTAGTTCCTAATGTCATAATGGAGAGATCAGTTAGATGAGATGAAATTGCAGGGGTTTTTAGCATTTTGACTCCTTGTTTGCTAGTAGTTTTGTAGAGTCCACTGATGGTTGATGTGCTTTCTGAGAAATTGTCAGTACTCTTTGAATCTAAAACTAAATTTCTGTTATTTAAGAGATTCAGTTTTCCTGTGGAAGGAGTTCCAAGACAGGAAGTCTTAAAAGTCAAAGGATGATATACTGAATTGAGGGGTTTGGACATGTCATTGTCATACCATAAAAAGATCTAAGAGAGAGGGGAGATGCCATAGCTTTGATGTACCATACCTTGAAATCACATGGAGTGCAGAAGATTTAGACTTTGCTGCAGGCTACTGCTCCAGCTCAGCTATCTCTTTCATTAGCTACCTACAGTTACTACTTTGCCTGTGATTTAGCAATTCCCTGTAATACAGCCTAGAGGTGTCTATCCCGTGGAACTTTCAGGTAATTCAAATGGTAATTTCCTTGTTGCTTAGCAGGGGACAAATCCAAAGAGTGAGTGTATCATGGCCTTTATCACTAAGTGATTGAGCAATAGCAAGGACATCCATAGCAATGGTGCAAAGACTTGGTAGCTGATGTGTGCAAGTACAAAGAATTTGAAAACTGACCTTCCTAAGTTTTGCTGTGAAGCTTTCCTAGAAGAGTCAGAGAGGAGCATTCGCAATCCTTATCTTAACAAAACAGTGAGGAATGTTTATTTTAGGCAAAGATATTTTTTCTCATAAACCTTCACTGAGGTTTGTTAATGCAGCAAAGCTTTCTTTGGTCTTAAAAAAAAACCCCAAAAAACTGTTTTCTTTTGATTTTCTCTACTTGCCGCCTTTTAAAATATATTTTAGTTATTCCATTGTCTTACAGTCTTGCACTATGAATTTCTAATGTTTAAAGGAAGGGAAGAAGAAAGTGTGAGTATTCTATATTTTTAGGGGGACAGTTGTTTTAGGATGAAGATTGTAATTCCATTACAATCTTTTCCATTTACAATCATTTCCATTTACAACCATTCCATTTACAATCTTTTGTCCATGGCAGACACCTTTTAAGATAACGCAGGATTTTGGGTCTAGAATACATACTGGTTTATGCAGATAGAATGGAGGTTTACTGAGGAGTTAAAAAAGCCATCTATTGGTAGCAACTTTGGGTCCCTACGCACATGTGCTACGTTTGAACTGATGACCTAGAGGTGAAAGGCTCTGTATCCTATTTATCTGTCTCCTGAGCCATGCATAACACAAGTTGACAAGAACTATAGCTGTGAGAGGAAGTAACTGCGGAATCTGCTCTGAACAGGCACAGTTGGCTGGAAAGAGTTATGGAGGGTTTAAGGTCTTAGCTGAGGAAGCACAAAGGTGGTTTCTCCACTGCTCTCCAAAACACCCAGTGGGGGCTGTGCATTTAGACTGAACTACCTAGATCTTTAAGTCAGAGATAAGATCATCACACATTTTATACAGCTCTGTTACCATTGCCTGTGCGCCTGGATTTTGATATGTGTCTCTGGAGAAAGTTCCCAGCTGCCTGAGGAGATTGTGATTTAATTGGGGATTGTTAGAACTGGTGTTTTTGCACGTCATCTTCCACGATAACTTTTATAAAAAATCCTCAAACCTGCCATACAATGTAAATAATTAAATAAATCAATCTGCTGAGGTTGTTGCTGAATCTTCTTGAATCCACTGTGAGAAGGACTAAAGAAAGAGTATGGTCTTTCAGAGTGAGCTTTTTGCTCACTACTTGATTTGTTTTCTGACCTTCGGAACTGTGGGAAAGACAGAGTTGATTAGTTATTTAGGTTACTAAGTCTCACTGAGACAGTTGTGCAGCCTTTCTCTGCATAAACCTTCCAAACATTCAAGTAAACCTTAAGACATAAAGGATGCAAATAGGAAAACTTCATAATTCGAGTAATTTGGTTATACCATTGCCTGTATGGAAAGATATTGGAACAGGTAAAACCATTGTTTTAGAACCATGTCAAAGTGAAGCACTGGATTTTACCAACTGTAAATCAGTATTTTCCAGAAGTACCATGTATCTGCCAAAAACTCCCATCAAAATATGTATTTGATACTGAACTGTCAGCTGCTTGCTTTCTCACCATCCTAACAACCCTATTTGTTCAATATTTTTATTTTTAAAAAATCTCCTACCACATCATTATGGATAAAAGGGGTATTCCACAGGTCCTGGGTTTTTTTGCACAGCAACTCTTTAATCTGATTTTCAGAAATACTGAGCTTTTGACTCACTTTACAGAAGTTTCAGAGTTAGTAGAGCTTTGATCACAGTTTGTGCTCCTTTGGGGCAATTGACAAAATTGTTATGCTGGGGAAGTTTAAAAAATAGGTTTAGAATTTTTAAGGCAACTAGATTTAAAAACAAAATAAATAAATAGCTTTTCCTGCGGTGAAAGGTTTTCAATTGCAATTTCAATATATCCTCTTCAAGATTTCTGTGAATATAACTTTTCCACAGTATTAATGAAAAATTCCAGTGAACTCCCTTAAATTTGTTTGGTTGAGTACAAAAAGTTTTTCATATTTACTCAATGGAAATGTAGTAAGCAGCAATATACACTATTAGCCGCTGAGGGAAGCACAAAAGTTGGAGGACAACACTATTTTTTCTTTTTAAATTAAGTTTGTTTCTTTAATTAAAATAAAATTAGAATTTTAAGATTATTGTCTCCCCTCTTGTCTTTTCAAAAAGCAGGAAATTTTGAGATGTGACTATACGTTTCTTTACTCAAAAGGCTTGCATACAAATGCGTTATTCTCAGTAAAATTCACAGCCTTCGAGTTCATCTTGCTCCTATCCTGTGTAGCTTCTTGACTCCTCTATTTTAACTTGCTGGGGCTTTTTTAGTAAATTATGGTATTTCTCTTAGCTGCCTCCAAATGACGCTTCACTGATAAAAATCTTAAAAGTTCTCCCTGTCATTTAAAGCAGCTTAGTACTTTGTGTACACTAAAGTGATGGTCACTTCCTTTTTATTTTGGATTTTTTGTGTGTTGTTGTTTCATATTCTAATACAGACCTGACTACTCTGTGCCTGTGACTTGAACATTTTGTAAAAGGCCAGCTTGATTATAGAATAAGATGATCCAAAACACTGATATTAATCTTCTGGGGACTTTTGTTGGGGTTTTTTTGTTTGTTTTTCCAGTTCTGCTTCTTGCTGGTTTTAGAAGTTTTCATTTTTATAGTTTGGAGATGTTAGTAAAATCCATCTTACAGTCTTCAGGTTCTGATAACAAGATACCTCAGTTCTGGACAGTCTTACCATATGACTTCTATTGGTGTTTCAAACTTGTGTCTTCAGTTTCAAAGCTGACATTATAAATTTTGCATTGGGGAACATTTTCTTTCAGGATTAGCTCAGAAGAATAGACAGAGGACTGCTATATTTCTATATTTGTATGAAAAAAAAAACCCATTGAAGATACTTCTTTAACTCATTTGTAGTCAAATGGGCAATCTTCACCTTATATAATTGATAATATGTAATGGGAGCTAATACTATTGTCAAAATCTTCAGCATTGAGTTAAATCTGTGGAATATTTCTAAAGCAAAATATACAAATATATCATTCAATGAAATGATATGCAAAACATTTTTGTTTAAATCCTGACCTGCAGATGACCTTCAAATTAATAAGACTTCAGTGCTTTATCAGAACAGATGTTAAAAGGGCAAGGTCCTGAGCTCTATATATATATAATTAGTAAGGGACTCTAGAATGGATTTAAAATGGATTATGTTAATTCTGATCTTAGAGCCAGCAGTCAAAAACCTTTCAGATGAGCTAACAGTGTTCTGATAAGCTGATCTGTATAATTTAAATAAAAACCTTTTATACGATTTTGATGCTATTATGGTTTTATTCCCCAGAAGTCTCACCATGTGGCACTCTTGGTCATTTACATTTATTTAAAAAAAACCCAACAAAACAAAACCCACACACATAAAGCCCCCAGATCCCTTCTTATCTGCAACATTCCCATCACCTTGTGTATATTTTATATAAACCAAGTATCTAATAAACAAAAGCTCCTAATTTACGTTTGAAACCTCTTTATTTGCAGTCTACTGAAAGCAGTTGTGTTCTGGAATAAAAGAGACTTTTCCCATCCTCTGGCTATGCTGAATTGTTAGCTTAAAAATGCCTTGATTGAGAAAATTTGAAATAATGTGTTTATTTCAGAATGGAACAAGAAGTTGTGACTGAAGTATTACTAATTTATTATTGCTTGTCTGCAGAAGGGGAGCCAGCAGCTTGAATTGTATTTCAGTTTGAAAGTATTTACTCACTATATCTACAAAATAATATCCAGAGTGAAAGAACTGTAAAGGACGCTCTTCCAGGTTTTCTGCAGCATTTGAAGGGACTTTACTCATATTCGTCTTTTCCCTTTCAAAATGATTTGGTAATTTTCCAGTACTGATTGTGCAAGACTTTCAGGAGGAATAAGGAACTAAAGTTATAGTACAAAAAGCTAAAAATGGGCTGAGGCTATTAATCTGTATTTGTGGAAAGCAGGAGTTGGAGTGAAGCAAATCAAATCAGTCTGATATCAGTTTTTCTACTTTTCCCATTCAAGACTAAGCTAGAAAGCATTAGTTCACCTTATTCTGTTCTAATAGGCCAAACTAAATGCATTTTTCCAAAAGCCTCCTGGGCTGAGTGACTGGTAAGAGTATTGCCTAAAGGAAAATTATTGTCACATCTACAACTAATTGCTGTCCTGTTCATGTCTAACCTGTTCCCTGCACCTGTCTCTAATATGTTGTGGACATCACAGATTTCTTGATCATAGTATTTCTGTTTATTGCCTTCTTAGTTTAGCTGTCTATGTCGGAATTGGCTTACTTCTATTTTGCTTTATCTTTTCAATAAAATGAAAGTTTTCACAAGCATTCTGCCTTAAGAGCCTGTGTGACATTTGAAAATAAAATAGAAGAACTTCAGGAACAGGCATAAAAGAGCCTGACTCAGCTCTGAATTACCTCCTTGTGGTGTTCAGCTCTCTACTGATTATGTGAGGAAGCATGGAAAACCAATCTCCCTCAATTAAAGTTTCCTTCTTTAAATGTTTCCCTAAATCAGCTGAAAGCATCAAAATTTTACTTATATGCTATAGGCCTGGAGTTGATAAGTGTTTTTAGAAATTAAGTCTTGGCCCCAAAGCCCCTGTAATCTGTGAGAGAACTAAGTGTGAAGACAGGTAAATAACTGTAGTAATAGATAGAGCTGATGTATCAGTATTTGGTAGCTTTCTGTTGTCAAAATTGTTTGACTCATTATTTACTTTTTTAAAATTTATTTTGCAGTTAAATAACTTTTTGTGTTTAGTTTTAACTTGAGTATTTCTTTAAACTCGTTGTCCCTTATGTAAAATTTCACAACATAGTTATGAACGTACTGGACAAAATCTGCATAGTTTATGGACATGAGAGGAGGTATTTAATGGTGTTTTGTTGTTCCCCCTCTTAGGCTGTATCTTCCATATTTCTGGTAGAAATAGTCTGTAGGCTAACAGAACACAGAAGAACAGAGAAAATTATGGAGTCTTTGTTGTTGTTTTTTAAAAAAAACCCCTCTTAATGCTTGTTCTAAGTAGTTGTTTACTTGGTGGGATATACTGTATTTTGTCAGAAGAGTAAGTAGATTTATGGTTTACAGCAAAATATGATGTACTGCTGGAAAGAATACTGCTTGAGATAAATATATACATGTCTTTTCCAGCTAAGGGTGGTGAAAAGAGGATGAATGTGGATGTGTGTATATGTTCACATATACCTAAAGAAGGCAGATACATACAGGCACACTTTTCCAAGATTTTTTTTGTTTGGTGCATATACTGCAATGTTTGTTGATTGGCAATTTGTGTTTCAGAAAAAAGAACTCATAAAAAGCCCTAATAGATGTGGTCTGGCGGGGGACGTAACTGTTATGACTTTAGTGCCTCCATTATGCAGGATGCTTCATGTGGCATTAGGGCTCTGCTGATCAGAACAGCTAATACTATAGGAGCCTACTTAAAATTTTGACTTGACTGAGTCACTCTGACAGTTCACTGTTTTTTTCCAAACTAAAGCATTATATGGATGACCTTTTGTTTCTTAATTTTTCTAAGAACAGTTTCATTAGATGTATATTGATTGCATGCGTGATATTAATATCCTATATTTGATAAACAGAGTATTTTATTAAAATTCTATAAGATGCTACATAATTTGATTTTAATCTCTTTGTAGGTATTATTCTGCTTTAAAAACAATGGAACAGCTAGAAAATCTGTATCTTCCTAGAGTTAGCCAGTACCGGTTTTGCCAGATAATGATAGAAAATCTTCCAAAACTGCGTGAAGAAATAAAAGAAATATCCATGTCAGATCTCAAGGATTTCTTAGAGAGTATTCGAAAGCATTCTGACAGAATTGGGGAAACTGCCATGAAGCAGGTAAGCTGACCTAACAGGATGACTTCAGTCCTGTTATCAATTGAAAATATCAGTGTTTATAGCCTCAGGTTAGCCCAAAAGATTTGTCTAAGGATTACAGTCATCACACAGACCTTTGAGTAAAGATAGAGAACTGTGTGATGCTTGCTAACATCTTGGGTAGTTTCTTCTCCTGGACATGAAGTTGTCAGTTCTAGTGATCCCTGGCTAACACAGGAAGCAGCAGTGTGACACCTCAGTAGCGTCCAACTTTCTTTCCAGATTTGTATCTGTATTTGTATTTAGACAAGAAGTAGTTTCCCCCCGGGGAAAGGAATGAGAAATGCTGTATATCTTAAGTTGCAAAAAATTGTGAAATACTTTGAGGAGTCAACTCCTAGGCAGTCTGTTAATGCAGCAGTTACTATACCAAAACAAAGAGCAGCCTATCTGGCCAGCCAGCAAGGATGAGTAAGACTAAAATAAGTGTCGAAATAACTGCCTACTTCTTTCTAAAGTACTACTAATATAGAGGACTGAGGTGGGAGCCAGGAGGAGACTGGGACAGCTGAAGCCCTTGCCTGTTCCATCACAAAATAATCTGTCACTTCAAAGCACTGCACTAGTACCAAGCAAGCTTTAACGCAGTTAATGTTTTTAAAATTTATTTGGAGAGCAAGTTAAGTTTTAATTTGACTTTTTGTTTAGCAGAGTTCAGGTTGGGTTGCCATTTTGTCATCTGAGGTTCTTGTAAAATGCAGCATTATTGTCAATGAAACTTAATCTCAAGATTATACTGTACTACCTTGCTGCATTTCTTTCAATAGTAAGGACAGTGTAGTGAATTTGGCTTTTGCAGCTGACTGCTCACTGAGGCTTAACTGGAGACAGCAAACAAATAGCTGGAAACTCTGTGATAACTGTACTTCATTTAAATATTGATTCTCTGTTTGCAGTTTATGATCAGGAAAATTACAGGTTACTATTTTATGTTTTCTACCTTTTAAGTTGCATTGTGAGGAGTAGGAAAAAATTACACAGAAATTAGCTACTGAATTAATTTATCATCCCAGATTGATTAAGGACAAAATCATTGGTGTAGGCTGAGAACACACATCTTGCAGTTATACTGATGTGTGTTCAATAGCACCACCTGTTTTTCATGTCATAGCATATACTCATCAATGATGAAATTTGCATTACATCCCTCTTTATTGGTACTACTTTTAAAACAGGCACAGCAGCAGAAAACTTTTAGTACCACTCTTCAGAAACAGAATCATGTAAACTATGGTCGGAATATGCATTTAGGTAGAAGCAGAATTTTAGAATCCAAGAGTGAAATCACATTGAAGCGAACGTTTGAAGAAGATGATGAACATGAAGAAGAGGTAACTTTTTAATAAATTAGTATGTCTTATTTAAAGTGAATTTTGTAGGTTTGTTGAACAAAAGTTGCAGTACGCTGTCTGTAGATGGTCAGCGTTAGTTAGGAAGAACCAGAGAACACCTTCAAGGGACACCAGTCTGGATCAGCATTTTAAGGGGAAAAAATAGTGTGAAAATATTAGTTGTATTAATGCCACCTTTAGCATCATGTTTGGGGACATTCAATTGGATAGAACTTGTAATTATTCTGGAATACAGTTGCAATTTACATTATACATTACTAACCCACTGTAAATGATATGTGTCCCACTGGAATATTCTACTGCTGCTAAAGCCAGCATTTCTGTGTTGAGGACTTCAGCTTGTGTTAGAACTCTTATCAGTTATCAAGTACTCATTATTCACAAATTGAATAAAAAGTGAGTATTTAGACCTCTAAATGTAGTGCTCTGAAAACACAGTGAAAGGAATCTGGTCTTGTAACACAAATAAAATTTAGTACTGTACTACAAAGGAAGGGGAGAGCTGAGCAGTTAATTTATGCTTTTGTAATAGGACCATCCATTTTTGGGTCCTTATTTGGTGTACTAGTTCTGTTGGTAATGTATCACATTTTGCGGATTATATGCTTTTTGTGCTTTATATACTTTTATTTTTTCTTTCCTTCTTCAGATTTTAACTGCCCAAGATCTTGTAGACTTTTCTCCAGTCTATAGGTGTTTACACATCTACTCAGTTCTGGTATGTATTAAGGTGACCTGAAAAAAATATTTCACTTTTTGAAGTTGAATGTTCATTTTCATATTTTTCATACTCTAATAGTTCCCAAGCAAGTAAGCATACTGCTTCTAGTAGTAGTAGTTCTGGATGAACCAGCTGAGATGGGTAGAATATGGATACTCAGGGCATGACTGCGTATTTTATTTTATATGCATAATAAAGGACATGCAGCAAGACATCAATTACATAAGTGTTCTTAAGAATACGTGTAAAATATGCACGTCTGCTTCAAAAGTGGTATTGACACTTTTGCAGTTCCCCTGAGTGTTCCATGTTACCTAAATGTTTGGGGGGATATGATCAATATTAAAAAACAAATGAATATTCAGTCCAAATCTTGCGGAAATCGGAATAGTAGAGCAAAATTGCAAGCAGAAACTGGAGATTGTGGCGGGCTGTACTCAGACGGATTAGACTGGCTTCAGTGGCGGAGACACAATAGCCCATTTTAGCTGCTGTAAAAGAGATACAGTGCGCAAGCTAACAAAGGCAAAAACTTTTTTGGGGAAACTTGGTAACAAATTATTATTTTGTCACCTTTTGTATGTCTCTTTCTTTTGAAGTCAGATTACTTACAGAATAAATATCAGGGGCATATACATGAAGTACTTTTAAGTATTGCTGAACCTACAGTCTCAGTACCTGGCTTCAAGCATTCAGGCTGGGTTATCTTCTTTCTGTGGAACCCTTGCAGATGTGTAACATGAAAGCTTATATACTGAAATAATGTTTAAAGTGTTATTTCATTGTTACTCTTTTTATTAAGAATGAATCCAAACAAAAGCACCAGTAATTATGTTGGTAATTATTTATCTCAGTGAAAAGAACAGGCAAAACAGAAAGACAGACTGCCAGAACTAGTAAAAAGAGAGGACCGTTTCTTTTTACAGAGGAAATAAGTGTGAAATAATATATATAAAAAAGAATGTATAAAGTTAAATACACCATTTGACAACATCTGCTTATTCTTCTATTAGAGTAATAAAAGAACAGGAAGTAAAATTGAAAGATTATATTTAAAAGTAATATGTGATGTTGTTTTTCACTTTGACAAGGATCCTGATGTTGAATCCTTGATCCAAGGATATGCTCTTTGGGTTTGCACAGAAAGTTTGCTAGCTTCCAGATTTACTGGAGACAGAAAACAATTTGGAGTGCTCTCTGATATCAAAGGCCCTTAGTCCCCTAGAAAAAAGGTTTGTCGATGACTTCAGAATAGGGCTTCTGTCTTTCCTGCCAACATCATCTAATTAATAAGCCATGGTAGTTGTGCTTTAACCACTTCTTGGAGTCCTCCTCATTGACCTCCTTGTTGTGAAACATCTCTTTTGGAGTTTAGAGAACTTCATGATGACAGCAAAGGAGGGGACTTGATAGCAGGTAGCTATTTATTACGTTTCTGTATCAAGGACTTATCTCACAGCAAATGTCACCTTCTTAGTGAATTCTCTCTCTGCTACAAAACTGTAGAAAATACTCTATTTTTACGCAGGACAAAAGTTTTCTATTCTGCTTCTTCATATTGAAGAAAAAAGCAGGATTTTATTTACCACAGAATACTACATAGCTTGTGGTTGCAACCTGGTGATTGCAAGATACATACATACCAAACATAGACTGTATTTGTTGACCAATAACCTTTCTTTAGGCTGGAAACATCTGGGCAATATACATAAAGAGCTTTTTTTTTTAGCCCATATATTATGTGAAATGCTGTATATTTGAATTCTACTGAAAACACCCTTGATCCCTTTGGCATGTAATGTTACCTTAGTTAACTAAACACTATACAGAAGTATAAAATTTATGTAACTATGGTGTAAAACAACACTTGATATATGAGCAATATTCCTAGAATTTATAACCCAACATGAACTGATGTATTATTTCTGTTGTTATGAACTCGTGAACTTTTGGAAGCTGGGCAAAACAAATGCATTGCTTTGGTATATTTTATCTTGCCTTTCGTTTGCTTATTCAATGAGTGAATCACCAGGCTTGTTGCTGTATTCTGCTGATTGCTTTAGAACATCTATTTAAAGTAGTTGTCATGCCAGAATAGCTGATCTTGATTGCACAGGATAGCACGGTCTATAAATAAATAATCATGAGATATTTTACATCTCCGTTTTTGGTGTGGATTTGAGAAACCTCAGTAGAGATTTGGCATTGGAAGTAGAATTCAATAATGGCTTTCTGCATCTGAAAACTGCATTGAATGTTTGGGCTGGAGGTGAATGGTTAATGTCTGAACAGTATGTGTTAGTACGAATTATAGCACACTGTGTATTCTGCTGCAACAGAAAGTCTTCTAGTAAATTTGCTTCTCAGTTTCAAGTGAATTTTTGTTTTTAAGCAAAGTCTCTTTTTTACTTTTAGATTTTGTTAGGTTAGCAGTATTTCTAAATATGATTAAATATTTGTTATGAATTTCAAATACAAAATTTAAACTTTCTTTGTTATGGCTTATAAAGGAGTTAGGTAAGTAATGCTGACTTAGTAATATACAATCTCTGTAATAATTTGATTTGAAGATTTTTGTAAGCCCAAGTAATGGAATTCTAAATAACATTGGCCTAATAATAGGCTCATGAAGTAAAAATAAACCTTAAAAATGCTAAGCTGCTTTATTCTGCTTGCATACAAATTACATTGTGTTCAGTAGGTAGATGAGTCAATGTGACGCTGATTTGAAATGGATAGATGGTTTCTGCTGAATGGTCATCTGAATGAGATGGGTAGGTTGTCACTTGAATTCCTCATGATATAATCAATAGGCATAGAGGGTATTGTATTTTTGAGGACTGTGATAGGAGAAAAATCCAAATCCGCAGTCATTATAATTATCAATTCCAAAGAGAATAAGCAAATATTAAATTTAAAAAATCTCATGTAGTTTTTTTACCTCAGTAAAAAATGCAGGCAGTGTTCGGACGTATCATATATTCATAGCAACATTTCTGTAACTTAACTTCACAATGCAGTTAGGTTCTTGAATAAGCTAGAGAAACATTTTAGGAGACAGTGAGTTTCAGTAGAAAACTTACTAGAGTAATAGGTAATATGCCTTGTCTGTAAATATTAATACACTCTGAAAGCTGTAGTTTAAAAACATAAATATTGCTTAAAATGCATAATATTGCTTGACAAAATGTAGGCACATGAACAAAAATTTTACTTACAGTACATTCTGTAGGCTACTTAAAAAAAAAAAAAAATCTGCATTTTTACATGCATGCAAAACTTTGCTAGTGTCAGATGGAGGTCTGCATGTGGAATAAATGCAAAATATGTGGCTTAGTTTAAGAGAATTCTACCCTTAAATTAAGAAGTATCTTTTTCATACTGAGCCAATGTTCTTGTGTTAGCTACTTTTGTCTTGTTTTAGGGTGATGGAGAAATATTTGAAAATTACTACAGAAAACAAAGAAGGAAACAAGCAAGATTAGTTCTGCAGCCACAGTCAAGCATGGTAACCAATACTTTTGTTTTTTGCATTAATTTGGGCTATACCTAATTCTTTGTGGTATTTTTATTCCTAAACTTGTTTTCTTTTTCACTAAAAGCATGAAACAGTAGAAGGCTATAGAAGATACTTCAGTCAAATTGTAGGGTAAGTTTTCTAAATGGAGATTTATTTCAGTTTTACTATATTGATTCTTAATTCACGTTCTGTTCTCCCATTGTCCAAAAACTTTATTCTGCAAGATTCAGTTTCTGCACAAATCATGTGGGTGGTTGTTGCTGGATCTGAGCGGGGAAGAGCATCCACGTCCTACCAGTCCGGTCCCCACAAGGACCCTCCAGCAGCCTGGGCTCCGGCTGGCGTGAAAAAACTTTTCACAGTTTGACTTCATGCTGGGCAAAGCAGAACACCAAACCTACCAAAGTGTCAGTGCTCGAATGGGGAAAGATTTGACTGTGCTTGTGTGTGAAAGGGTAGAATTTGCTCTAATATTAGAAAACAACTTAATAATTTAAGCATTATTTTATTTTAGTTTCTTTGTAGTAGAAGACCACATTTTACATGTAACCCAAGGATTGGTAACGAGAACATATACCGATGAACTCTGGAACATGGCCCTTTCCAAGATCATTGCTGTTCTTAGAACACATTCAGTAAGTGAGAAGTCTTACAAGTATTGCAGTTTAAATCCTCTTACTTCAGAGCTCTGTATATTTAAAGCTGGGATAGTAACAAAGTGAAAAATTACACATCTCTCATGTTTTCTTTTCCTTGTGATTAGAAATTGCTCAGATTTGGGAGGTAGCCTGCCAAGCTTTTGTTTTTCCCAACAGTATCAGGCTGTGATCCACAGCCATGGGCTATTTGCATAATCCTCCACTGATTTACAACTCACTGGGTCTTCCAAACCTTCTCTTAGTCCAGCAGTTTAGAATATGCAGAGTTAATCTGCTGTTATTATTACAATCCTTCCTCATTAGTCTCAACTGACCTCTTCATTAGATCAGATTGAATAGTTCAGCACTGAAAGCACCACCAGGAAATAGTTCCTAATTATCATACCAAATGCTGTGTTTCCAAAATAAACTCCACCAGCAAAACCCTTGGAGCTATCTCTTCAACGCTATAGTAGTAATATGTTTATGTTGAAGTAAAGGTGTTAGAAAAATCTTCACAGATGTGAGATGGTAATTCTGATTCAGATGAGTATTTCAGCACATTCAAAGTGTGTTTCCTAATGTTACGTTTCTACCTCACCTCCAGTGGTGCTGAACAGCTGCATGCTATTTCTTATTTCTCTGTGAAAACCAATGGAATACCGTTGTTTGCTCAGATTGACTGATAACAGATTGCTTCAGAGTATACTATTGGTGTAACTTTTTCTGTTGGAAAAAAAAGAAGGGTTTTATCTTTCTCTGTTTAATGTTTGCTAGAAGAAATTCCTTTATGCAATGTTATTTTGATTTTGATTACAATTGATCTTTAATTTGTGGAATATTTTACATTTCATATATACTGAGGAAAAATGGGGAAATAGTTCAAATTGCAACTATAGTTTTATCATAGGACCTTTACTGATAAGTGGTACATGAGATGTTCTCATACTTTTAAATTAATTTTAGAGGATTGGGATAAATTGAGATATATTTAGCATATTTTTAAGCTAAATAAAAGTTAATTGGCTGTGTATGGATTTATACACCTATATAAGAATATGGTAATTAAAGGAGTAAAAGTAATGTAATCTCTAAAGAGATTATCAGTGTCTTGTCTTGTAGATAATAACTATTTCTTCTCAAAATGCATAAATCCTATCAAAACTAATTCTATCACAATCTCTCTCTAACATCATCCTACTACAGACTAATGTTTAGATAAGTGTATGTTGTCTTATGAGGTACTGTAAACCAAACCCTTACTTTACTAAAGTATGCAAAGAGCAAAAATTAAAGAAAGGTAAAACAGGTGTATATAGTCTCTAACCAATACTATGTTCTTGAACTGCTTTAAGTTATTTTAATATAAATATTTTTTTACTTTATCCAGTATTGCAAATAGTGAAGCTGAGGTGAAAGCCTCTGAACTTCACACCTCTGAAAATCAAATTTCAGTCATTTAGTAAATAACTTAGTGTCTTGACTTTTTACCATCAAATTTGTAATTTGAATTTATTTAGAAAGTATTTTATAGTGTTTTCCCCATACATTTGGGAAACTGTCTGAGGTGACACAGATAGTGCTGGTTAGACCCAGGCTTAATATTCAAAAGAACATTCTGTGGAAATGTCTCTGACCTTGATTTAGCAAAACATTTTGATGTGTGTTTATGTTCCACTGAAATAAACATAATTTGATTATTTTGAATCTCATTACAATGTACTGATATTTATTGAATCTCATATTTTAGTTTACTTTTTCTGAGCTTTTATAGTACTGGTAGTTCATATAAAAATTTAACAAATACTTTTATGTAGCTGGAGTAAGTGAAGACAGGTGAGTGTAAGTTGTTTTTTTACTAAGGCAGTCAGGTAAAGGGATAAGGCTGGAGACTTTAACCTTCTGTGCTAATATTCTTTGAAAACATATGTCCCATATTTTAAATCCTTTTAACAAAACCATAATTTCTCACTTTCAGTCATATTGCAATGATCCTGACCTTGTTCTGGAACTGAAGAATCTTATTGTAGTATTTGCTGATACTTTGCAGGTACGTATTACATTAGTAATTTAACTGAAATTCCTAGAGTCAAATTTTTCCTTTAGGTGAGTAAGTGCAATGCTTTGGATTTCCCTGATATCATATATATGAATCAGGAATAAAATTACACAATAGTGTTTTTAAAATATATATGTATCTTGCCTTGGTTCCTCTTTTGCAGTGTTACCAATTTAATATATGCATTCTGTGCTATTCAGCTAGCATCCATTCACATCTATGCAAAATTAACGTTAGCGTTATAATTTGTGTGTGTCTCTGTCTTTTGTAAATGCTTTACTTCTGATCTTAAGCAATAATAGCATTCCAGTTATCATTAGCTCTCTAGCTGGAAGACCAAAAAACATCATTGGCAATTATTCTTGCAAAGTGTAACAGGCTGATAAAAAAGATTAGTTGTATGCATAAATAGCAAGGTGAAATGTTATAGGGAAATAAGACAACTTTCTGCTTGAAAACCAAAAGCATAGCATTGAGTATTTGGTAAGAATTTGATATATAAACTTCTAATTGTAGTGATGTGTTTAAAGTACTATACTTTCTTTTATAGAAGTGACAAGGTTAAATAATAAGTCTCATCTCAGAGTGCTGAAGTACTGAAGTGATAGGAATTGAGTGTGTTCTTGAATTATCCATTCTTTTCATTTTTATACCATAGGGTTATGGTTTTCCTGTGAATCGACTATTTGATCTTTTATTTGAGATTAGAGACCAGTACAATGAAACACTTCTTAAAAAGTGGTCTGGATTGTTCAGGTTAGTATTTCAAAATAATTGTATTTATATTGTATGTATTATTTTCTTCTTTCTTAAAGTTGTTTTTTTTTTTTTTTTAAATAGAGTTGTAATTCTGGAAGAATTTATTAACTCAGTAGTGTATGTGAATTTTAGATTTGGTATAACTAAGGCATTCATCACATGTAACTAATATTCAGGAGAAGAGCCATTGAGGGTTGCTTTTGTAGTTAATGGAGAGAAGGAAGGTCTCCAAAGGGACATTATTGGAGAAGCATCCAGGAGAGAAGCACCTGTTTTTCTTCATTCTTATTCTTCACTGTCCACCATTGCAGTAGGGTTTTGAGTTCCTAATTTAGGTTGTCTTAATGTTTACAGTTAGCTGATATGTGTATCTCCCTGACAGACTGCTGACATTGCCAGTACATCTTCATATTTTTTTAATACAGATTGGTTTCCACCTATTCCTTGGAATCATTTGATTGAGTAGATTATAAACCCAGGAACAGAGCGGCTTGGGACTGTATTCCAAAGCCTATTTGCAGATAGAGTGTGATAGCTAAATATGTAGATGTTGTTTACCATTAAAAAGTTACATTGTATTACAGAAAACCTTGAATTAAATTAACCAGGTAAATCTAGTGTCTAAGGTTCTCATGCTCTCTAGACTCCTAGGATAGTCAGTGGACTAACAGAGAATTCCAGAAGCTTAAATAAAGCTGTGGCCACATGCCTAGTTGAAGTTCTCTGAATCATCTCCATTGACTATATGTAGCTGTGGTACCGAAGTGAGACACTGAATGTCTGCTTTAGCGTAGGCAAAGTGTAGGCTACTATAATTAACAAGTATCTCCTTATGGTTTGCGCTGGAGTAGAGTAGTTGGTCTGAAGTTCTTTGGCTGTATTGTGCTTTGAGTCATACCTTTTAAAATGCTTTCAGCTATTTTTTTTAATCTGTTATTAGACGTGGTATAAAGAGTTAGCATATACAAGGTACTCTCAAATTTCTCTAAATATATTTTAGCTATCTGCACTTATAATGATTGCAGCTTTTAACTTTTTGAAGCTGCACACCTCAATGTAGTAGTAAAATTTATATTCATTTTCATGTTTTAACACTGGAAAATACTGTAAATAAACCACATATAAAAATATTTTTCACTTTACTAACTAATTCACCAGGGATATTTTTGAAGCAGACAACTACGGCCCTATTCCTGTAGCAAATGAGAAGGAATACAAAATAGTTATAAGCAAATTTCCTTTTCAAGATCCAGAACTGGATAAGGTAAGGAAAAGTTTTATGTTATTAAAGTGTGACAAAATCCAATTAAGGACACTTGGGACAGTAATGATTTTTATAATTAAAAAGTAATTAAAATTTGAAAAGCTAGGTAGATTAAGAGGCTAAATCACCTTCTTTGTGTGTAATTATCCAGTCATAAATAAATATGAAAATTAAAGCTTTAGTCATTTGCTCTGATGTTTGAGTGAATAATGAAACCCATTGTTTTGTAAACACATTAATAATACACTTCAGTTGATACAGTCTTTATGTAATTATTATACAGTCTGTCTTTAATTAGTTAAATTTTGATGCAACTCATTGGGTTTACTAACTTACAGTATATTATGTGCTGTAGTTTTGCAAAAATACATGTAAAACAGGGATCTGTTAGAAACAGCAACTTTTGTATTTCACTTTTAAAATTAATTATTTGTGTTTGACCGTGTGTGGCAAAATAAACATGAAGGGGATGTAAATAATTCTGCCATACTAGCATTCCAGTAGGATAATCATTCATAGCCTCAGCCATTCTTTTACTACAAACTCCTTTCACAGAAAGGTGATTAATATGGTCTGCTATTCAAATATAATTTTTTGGTAATACTGAGGAAGAAGTAAAAGGCCCATGATGGGAGAACTACATGACAATGGGAGAAACTGTTGTAGAGGGAAGCTGATTTATGCACGATCCATCACTACAGATACCTGCAAAAGTAAAAAGATACTCTAAATGGATGATTCAGCAGGGAAACATAACAGCTGCATGTCATTAATACAGTGTTGCAGTGACAATGAAAAACTAAAGGTGGGGTTTATGCTGATTTTTTAATAAAACTCCAGAGTGCTTGCTGAATGCTTTTCTCAATCAAATTAATCTACTTAACAATTATAGTACTAAAATAAGATAAACAGAATGGAAGTCCCTTATAGTGTTGGAAGTATACCACACCCCAGATACTATTTAGCATGATATATTTTGCTAATAAATTCAGAGATTTTTAACTTGCACTAAATAATTTTCTCTCCTAGCTCCTCTCATTCTCTGTCTGATGTATCACCATGTGTGTGTGGACATTACTTGTGTAGGCATGTGTAGTTACATATATGAATGATTAATACAAAGCTTTAGCTCCTGTTTCACCAGAAGGGAAATGTATTCTCTGTACCCAACAATTTTCATTTTGGTTTGTGACACAAAGAAGGATTTCCATTTCAGAGCAAGTAGCACTTTTTGTAGATATTTTATGGGCAGAATCTCACTGATGCTTAATTTTTGGGCTGATGAGCTTGGGAGTAAAGCTGGCAATCAGGTTGGATTCTGTTCCTAGCTCTATCATTGACCAGCTGCCTGATGTTGGTAAGTCACTTCACACCTCTCCCTGTTAATTCATCGGTAAAGGAGGGATAACATTTTTTACATCTCTCTGAAAAGAGCTGTGAAACCTCTATGTAAAGCAGAAGGACATCATTTGAAATAGTCAGTCTGAGGTTTTTTTCTTGTGTCCTAACAATTTTTGAAGCAGTTTAGTTCAACCAAATTTAGCAAAAGGGCAGGAGTCTCAAAGATAACTGAGTTCCTGAAAGTTTTGTCAACTAGGTAGTGGGATAGAGGAGAAAGAGTCATTAAGTATCCTTGTAGAAAGAAACACTGCAGTGTTACCTTAGGTATTATTAGGCAGCAGGGAATCCACATGGAGGGGAAACTATTAATGCTCTGACATCACTTCTATTGGTTGCTGTTTATAATCTCACCCACTTTACCTCTCTGTTGATGCTTCAGGCTATAATGCATGGAGAGATCCTATTGGGTGGATTAATTTTATCTAAATTTCAATGTTTAAAGAAAAAAACAACAAAAAAAGCCCCCATCAAAAATTAGGTGTTCAGGCTAGTTGCTGAAGGAGCCTGTGTAGTTGATAGAGAGGAATGGACACCCCCAGAGGGCTAATTCCGTTTGATGCATCTCTGATACCTTTTAGAGATTAAGGGGAATTTCACCTTTGAAAATGTCTGTTTCTTTCCAGTTAGTATAAAAAGAGATGCATGTGAGTGTCTCATTTTTAACTGTAGATTAGGATTAATCATCCTCACATTTTACAGGTAAATTTATCATAGGAGTTGCTTGCAGCAAACAAGGCAGAATTATGACCAGCAACTACTAGATATTTAACGTAGCAAATCCAGTCTGACTGGACACAAGAGGCTTGTCTCTGCTGTTTAGATTGAATGTGCTAAACTATCATGGTTTGATTAAATAATCTAATTTTACTCCCTTTCTGTATTCACAAGTGAAACAATTGGCTTGTGTATCTGTTGGGTTTTTTGTTTGTTTTTTTTTCTTGCTGCCTACTCTAGTAAAGAGACAGAAAGTGTTGTATCCTCCTGTAATGGCCAGACACAGTAGAGGAGAAAGAATTGCTTCTCTTAGATTGTTGAATATATGAAGATTGAGACTCAAGCCCTGCTGACAGAATACTGTGATGATCTGAAATAGCTGTGTGTAATAGCACTTGTTTTATATGCAAAAATTAATTGCTTAAATCGGATGAACACATACTTGAAGTAAATTTTGTTGTTAAAAAAATGTTTGCTATCGCTGTCGAATGACATGAAAGTCTGGCACATACACCACATATTTGTCACACCTCCTAATCTTAAGAGGTGTGATTAGGAAAATCTCAAGGTAATCCGTTTTGTCTTGTTTTTTTAATACACAAATGTTGAGTTGCCGTATGCTTTTTTTTTTTTAATTGAATTCTCCAGGGATGATATCAGTTGTTAATTATTTTTCTCATTCATTAGTCATAGAGTAAACATAAAATTAATTGTTTTAGAGATTTCAAAAATTTTTTATTCAATGCAGAAATATCTATTTGGCATGTGTAGATTTAATTGAATTAATTCATTTTTGTCCCCTGAAATGCAGTATTAGCTTTCAAATTGAAGTAAGCAGCATGATTTTATTCTTACAGACTACTGATAGTTCCCACATGTTAATCCAAATTGTTGAAAAGAATTCAAACTGCTTTGGTTTTGTGAACCATCAGAGAAAGTAAATATATGATAGTAAATATGCATGCCTAAACATTCTCAAGATGTATGGAACTTCTCAAACCTTTTTTTTTTCTCCCACTGCTTTCTTTGACAGAAAATATTTGCATTTTTGAGCCTCTTATCCCACTTGCATCTGTTTTGTTCATTCAGATTAAAAGTAGTTTGAGACCTGTTTTTAATGTATGTTTGTCAATTGCTTTCTACAGAGGAATCGTAAATTACTTGAAGTCTCCAAACTTTATTTTAATTTAAATAAGTGATAAAGTTCTATTTTGCTTACAAGCTATTTAAACAGATGTAAAAGTCAGTCCAATGTATACCACTGTTTGTATTTGATGAAAAACAGAAAAGCTTAAAATAGATTAAAATATTGATAGTGTTAAGTGGCTTTCTAATTGTTGCATTTAATGCCAAGGTCTCCTTAGAATCAGTTTCAAGTGTAAGATATTATTATCTCTTATTTTCACAGCAGTCCTTTCCAAAGAAGCTTCCAATGTCTCAGTCAGTGCCTCAGATTTATATCCAGGTTAAGGAATTTATTTATGCAAGCCTTAAATTTTCAGAATCACTTCACCGCAGGTAAGCCTGAAGTATCAGCAATGTGGCTGTAAGGTAACCTGTAACTTCCAGGTGACCTAAAATACATATTAAACTGAAAATATATTTTCTTATATACTTGCTAGCAGTGCTTATTTCATGATTTACATATAATTTACATATATAATTCTTTATACTTAATATATGATTCCCAGTGCTATAGCATATATTTCATATGTGTATATAGATACTGTATGCAATATGTGTATGTATGGGTGAAGGTAGCTTGGCATGGTAAGCAGTCTAAGACACTGCTGGGTTTTTAAAGAGTATTGATTGGTTTGAATAATCTGGAGATTTTATTTATGTGACAAAGCATGTAAGATTTGAAAAATAAACTTTTATACTGACCATTTGTAAATAGTTCTGCAGCATCCCTGATTACTTCAGATGGCCCTTCCATTCTCAGTGCTTTAAGGTTGTTTAGCAATGATTTCCCCTGCCACAGAACGTGCTGTCTGCATGCTCATCCCCTCTTCCATTACAACTTACGCTGGTGGAAACAGCACAGTTCTCCCATTTCCTTTCTTCTTGTAGTCTTCAAAAGCTTGGTTTTAATTACATAAAATAACATTCATAGATCTGAAATCTGGAAGGTATTTGTGGCAAGTCACCCACTTCTCCACTGCTAAAGATGTAAATGACTCGCTTTCACACATTCTTAATTGATACTGTTTATAATTTACACGTACTAATGAGTGCATGTTGACCTCCTTAGTAACTCATTAAAATCCACAGATTACTCTTTCTGAACTGCTGTGTCAATAAACATGTCCAAAATCTAAAAATAACAGGTTTTGATTCACTGTTGAAATTCAGTTAATGGATAATTTGGTAAGTGAAAGAGGTGTTCTGTGTGTTAGATCACAGAAGACTTGGAGTAACCAGAGATTAAATGCACATAGGGAATTCTTAAGATTAAAAGTTCCCTTTGCAGGGAAAAAGTAAAAATATTAAGTATTACTGTCAAAGTATTGTCACATACAGCATAGTTATAATTTTTTTTTTTTTCAGCTCAACAGAAATAGATGATATGCTCAGAAAATCTACAAATTTGCTGCTTACAAGAACTCTAAGTAGTTGTTTACAGAACCTAATTAAAAAACCTCATATAGGTTTAACAGAGGTAAGTTTTCAAACACATACTCAAAATTGTGTTTTTAAAAACAATTAGTGCTAAAATTATTCTTGTAAATCTAGATATACCATGCTATTAAGATTTGTGTAAGAAAAACAAGTAGTGTTTGCTTTAAAATAGAAAATTTAAAGAGGTGAAAGATGAAGTATAAAAAAGCCTCAGTATGTGTTACATAAAAAATACAATACAGCGTTGGGTCTAGTTGGAAGTATATATACACAGGGGTGCCTTTTGAGAGAGATTACAATGAAAGAGTTCCATCTCCTGTATGATAAACAGAGATTTGCAGGAAATTAGCCAAAGACTCTTACTTCTTTGGTTGCATAAAGAGAATGTTTCACGTGTTCTCCTCCAGTCTAGCAATTAGTAGCACTTTGTTGAGTTTCTGTTTTCTTCCTATAAATAAAAAGGAGGGAGAAGGGGGAAGGGATCTCTCTCACATGAGCTGTGTAAAGTTTCAGAGGAAACCTACCAGATCAAGAAATATAAAATCTGAAGTTCACTCTAAGACATGAAACTTTTTCTATAGTAATTGCAACTAAAATATTTTAGTAGGTTTGTGTATGTACTTTCTTCATTGAGACTCTTGGTTTATTTTGTTTATTGGATCAAATAAGACAAGGTGAGACAGTGAATCAGTCTGCATATTCACTGCAGGTACATGCAATGTCAGGAGACAGCAGGTGCCTACTGAAAAGTGCTGAGAAGGACTTAGGCTGTTGCTGTTCGAGCACTGTTAGGTTATACTGAATGTTGTTTTTAAACTGCAAGAACCTCTTATATAGGTGGAATCAAGAAGACAATGATGAGGAAAGAGCTCTATAAATCATATATTACTATGTAAGACAAGATGTACCATTTTTCTGAGACATAGTTTTCTGTGTTCTTGAAATTAGTACAGGAATATTTTCAAGGACAGGAAAATAAATTCACTAGTATTTTTCAAGGTATTTCATTATCAAGTCAATATGTTTTATGAGAAAAATGTTAAAAAGAGAAAACTTACTTTATCAAGCATTACGTTAGTGTACACTGAAACAGTATGCAGTGAGAATTAAGATATACTGATATTTCAGTTACTATGCATTATTTACATTGTCTAATTTGTGAACTGAATGCGAATGCAGGTCCTGCTTATAAAAACATCTGTATCACGTACAAGCAGATTGTTACCATTGTTGGAGGGAGGAAGGAGTTGACAACCTTATTTTTGAAATTCCCTGCCTTCATTGGATCCAATTCGATTTATTTCACTGAGGAGGTGTCTGCAGTCTTCATTTTTAAAATGTCATCATTTGTATGTAAACTGTCATATTACTCCTTAGTGGTATTTGAAAGCAAACTTAAAAACTAACAGTTAATAGATGGCAACCTGAAATTCTGTAATTAATTTCTAGTAGCATTGTTGCTGAAAGAACATTTACAAAATGGTCAAATTATGATGGGTGATACAAAAAGTATTTTTACAATAATTTTTTGTCTCTTGTAGCTTGTTCAGATCATCATAAACACGACACACCTGGAACAAGCCTGTAAATACCTTGAGGATTTTATATCTAACATTACAAATATTTCACAAGTGACTGTTCACACAGCAAGACTTTATGGACTTTCTACATTTAAGGTATGGTATATGTCATCCCTTATATGACTATATCTGAAAAGTCACATTAAAATCCCTATAAATGAAGCATTTTAAAACAAAAGGAGGTGAGGGCAAAGTTGCATGCTTTCTCATTTTTTGACTCAAAAAGAATTTTGAGCTGTTAATTCAGTTGTAACACCAAGCAGTTAATTGTTGGGTTTTGTTTTCATTATGATCTGAAATATGTCAGTACGTGAGAAATATCAGTATTCTCTTTCAGATGCATCTTTTATTAAGTAACAAAATGACAAGCTGAGTTTAGTTGCACCAGAAGCTTTCAATAGATTAAGCTCCAATTTGTGTAATGTCTCCCCTTTCTGAATGAAATTGAGCAAATCACCTAGTTTAATCTAAAATGTTTGTATTATTTATTTGATTTTAATCTGCAATAGAAATATTTTGTGGTATATTTGCAAATTGTCTAAGTAAGTAATATAAAAACAGTATTAAGAATGTGTGACAAATAAATTATTCAATTATCTTTTTAGAATTCATATTTTATTTACATGTCCTTTATATACACAATAGTACATGTTAAAATGATCACTGTGAACTTGACTGTTTCTAATGTATGGCAACTGCTTATCTGCACAAAATATTTTTCAGAAATGGCAGAAGTTTTCAAGCTTATATCTCAAAAAATTAAAGTAAATAGTTGGTGATGCATACTCAGCGTAGACAATTGCAGTTTTGGCAATTAGCATGGCAACATTTGTAAGCTGAGTATAAAATAATCCTAAAATATATTGTTGTTTTCTTTCTATATATGGCTTCTCATCTCATTAGTAGGTGAAGTGCTCCTAGTTGTTCTTGCACTTATCTATACAAAAATTCTGAAGGATTTTGGGAAGGGGAAACTAAAGCAGAAATACCAAATGACTTGTATAAGCACATCTGATGTCCTTGGCAGAGCAAAAACGGTATCCTCATCTGTGACGTCCTTCTCCACAGTATTACTCAAAAGGCCTTAGTCCTTTTTCAGTCGTAAGGCAGACACATGTTGTTAATGAAAAACCTGCACATAAAAATGAAATTGCTGAAAACAACGTATACACGTGTCAGATAACTCAAGAAGACTGAGATTTATCCCTAAGATAAATTAATCAAAATTCTGATCCTTGCTCAGGCTGTTTTATGTCATAATAACCTTAGTAAGCTCTAAAACAAGATCCCACAGCTGGAGTAGCTATACTGAGTGCAAAGATGGTTTGACCTCAGGCCACTGGATGGCCCTGCAGCAGAAACCCTACTGTGCTGTGGCACTGGAGACAAGTGTAGAGATGCTTAGAGATCCTTCATGCTCTGGTGGTGGTTGAGCACCAGGTACTTCTTTCAAGCACCAGATGGTTGAGTACATCAAAGAACCAAGTTTTGGTATTTATATACATAAAGATATCAGCTATTATTTCATTGACCAAGTCTGGCTGAGTAGCTTTTTTGGTTTAGGATATAAGTAAATGTGTGTGCCTGGGGGGTGGTTTGGGGTGTTCTTTCTGAAGAAAACATTATCACATAAGAATAATCTTGTATAGGTTACCTTGTGCCATTAATTTAGCCAGTGCATTGTCTTAGTCACTTGGGGCTTCTATACGGAAATCTTTGAAAGAGAAACAAAAAACCCCCAGAAAGTCACCAGGGATTCCAAAGCAGCTGCAACTTGAACTTTAGGTATTTGGGGTTTTTCAGTATACGCTGAGACAAAGGAGGGTGATTTCTTGTATTTATGGGATAAAGAGGACTAATCCTATTGAGAGTAGTTCTGTTTTCTGTTCTTCATTTTTTTCTCTTGCTGCAATACGTAGCCTATCCTGTTACAATATCCCCTCTGGCATAGATGTTAAAAGATGGGTGAGGTGGAATAAGACGTCATCATTGCAAGACACTTCAGTATTTCCATTTGATTGACAGCAATTTTCCCATTAACTGTAATTTGTTTTGCTAAGGTTTTAATGAATAAGGCAAGTCAGAAAGGTTCTGGCTTAGCAACTGTAGTTAGGTTACTATTGCGCTACCAGTAGTTTTATTACTAATTTTGCACTGTCCTTAAGATTCAGGCTGCCTAGTTTACTTGTTGTTTACCAATAGTGTATGTGTGTCTTTGATTTTTGCTTATCTATAGATATTTTTGTGTAAGGTCAATCCATATTTTTTTTTAACATTCAAACCAAACACTTAATGCAGCCACAGTCTTTGATTTTGTTAAGAGGTAAGATGTTCTTTATCCCTGAATTTCATTTAATAAGTGCAGTTGAAAGTTTGCACTATTTTTTGTGCTGCTTGCTTATTCTGTAAGTTATATTTCATTAGCCTATAAAAAATCTAAGTTCTACTGGAGGGAATCACAGAATATTGCATCTGTGTTTAGTCAGCTTAATATCTACACGCTTTGGAAAAATACAGAACAAACGCTGACAAACACACAGGAATTTTTTTTTATGGGTTCTCTTCTCCCTCTTTCCC